TTAAACGAGATTTTCACAGTTACTTTGAAATGTAAACAATGCTATATATTTAAAGGATTTACAAACGATTTTGTGCATTAAATCCGAAAATAATTCCGGGAAGCTGTCCAGAAGGAAAACCAACTGTAGTGAAAGTACCGTATGAACTAATGCACAAAATGCCAGAGCTGAAGGTACGTGTAGCTAAGGGTTTAATTCTATAGCATTTTATGGTTGTCTTTAGGAAAATCCGCTCAAAGATCAGATATGCCAGGTGTTTTCCGAAGATGGGCAGGGTAATTTAAGCTTCGACGACTTCCTGGACATGTTTTCAGTGCTAAGTGAAATGGCACCCCTTGATCTCAAACTTAATTACGCATTTCGAATTTTCGGTGGGCATTCAACAATTTGTTTAATATATTGCGCTAAGAAAATTTGAAAACACAGATTTTAGACTTCGACAAAGATGGCCGAATCGGGCGAAGTGATCTAAACCATCTGGTCCACAGTTTAACGCGCGAAGAACTAGGCGAAGATGAAGTCGAGTTCATCATTGACAGGGTACGTTGCTACCTTGATGTTACAGGGAAGCCAAAATTGATGTCCCTTTTCATCGCCAGTTTGCATCGTCTGTTTTGACAATATACAGCATACTTGTTACCTTGCACCCCAATTTTCAGCCTTGTGCATTTCTTTGACGCGCATAGTGCTTAGCCGTGTTGAATTGTACGATCTTGATCGTCCAACGTCGTTTTGGTTATCCTCTCGGTGTCAGTCCCGAAGTCAAGCTGTATAGTACCATTTTATCAGATGGTAGCCATTCCGTCTTATAACGCAACTAAGATATTTTAGCCTTTGCCTTTAAACGATTAATGTCACGCTGCTTTAAACCCCATTCGTTAATTTTAAAGTCAACTTAAAACCCAGGCTCCAGTTGTCTTCTGCCGAAGCTCAGACTCTGTCACAGGACCGACAACGTTGGAAACACTGTCTGAGCGTCTGCCTCCGCGACCCGAAAGGAGAAGCGGCCATGGAAGATGAACAAGAATTTAAAACCCGTGCATAACGATTGCCTGCAACCCGTATCTAAACGCTTAGGTGAAATGCCGTTTTGCCTCTCTGGTGATCCACCTTTGACATCTGTATCATCTGTAACTTGGAACCGGCAGTATTGAGAATCAGAGCTTTATAAGTCAGCTTTCTTCAGGATCTGATGCTACAACATTTCGTCATAACCTGATGAGTTTGGTCTTGGGTTGAGTGTGAGATCCAGACCATTGTAACGAATGCGGGTTTTTTCGAACAGTCTCTCTGTCAGTCTCTCTCAGTCTCTTAGATCTCTGCTGCTGCAACGCTTACTACCACGTCCATTGCTTATCGAAGGTTAATGATCAAGGTTCACGTAAGCTTAAAACTTCAGATGAAATCTATCATCGCTTGACTGTTTCATCAAACGATCGCCATTTTGGGTTCCAGTTCATACTTTTATGTTTGAAAGACATAAAACCTTGAGCAACTTTAATGAGGCATTTAATTAAACTCTATATGAGCAGTTGTTGATCGTTGCCATGATTTGCCCTTGATAATACCGGCAATAATCTAACTCGCTGAATGTCGCTCTTTCTGCGAACATTCTATTGCTGATGGTGACGCAGAACACAAGCTTGTTATCACAGGTCGATTGGGGTGAAAAAGTCTCATTTTTCACTCGTTTCGCTTCGCTTGCCTGACCCGGCTCGAAAGAGTCAGCTGTTCCTGTTCCAAGTAGTCCGCTGCTGAAGTGTATATTGAGGTCGATCATTACGTGCAGAATGTTGTGCTTGGGGACGGCGTCTATAAGATCTTGCAAGTGACTATATAGTAGATCAGTCCCTTCTTCGGTGGCAGTAGTGTGTCGATGTAATGTCGGTGCGTAATCTCAGCGAAAAATCGACTATCAAAACCTGCTTCTCGCCTTCCGCCAGCGGGGGACATTGCAGCATGACATGTCGATGGCAGCCGACATTCGACAAGAAGAAAACAAATATGCCAGTTAGCGACGAAGCCGCTGCCGAATTTGAACAAAGGAGGCAGGCAGCGGGATGCCATTATAGAATGCCAGATAAGGTTCAGTGCTTTTAACCGTTGTTTACATTGAACTATAAAGAGGTTTAGCTGCGTTTACTGAAACCTTGTTTAGGCATTTGATGGCTGAGAAGACGCTATGTATTTTATTGAAACCTTCGGTGTGGAACATTATGTCTGCATATAATGTCAATCTTGTTTTTAACAAAATTTAACTATCAGTTAGTGCGCAGTTTCTAATGGTTTCTGTGTAACGGTCTACGGTGAAAACAGAGTTTTTGAACAGCGCATACTGGAAATTTGCATTTTCTCGAAAAAGTTCAGCATTTCAATAAGTCTTCGATCACATTCAATAGCTATAAATCTGCGTCAATGATAGTAAACTTATATTTAAAAGTTTGCTGTTTAGATCATGGATGAAGCTGACCTTGACATGAGCCATTGTCTAACGTTTCCGGAATTCGAGCATGTCGTGTCGCGGTCTCCGGACTTTGCGCGAACTTTCCACATCAGAATATGAACACGGAAGCGATCGTAGGCGTTTCTTCTGAATGGGCTCGACTGCGAGTGCTACGCTGATTGAACGCCACGCGGCGTTCAACCGCATGTGGCGGCGACTACTACTTTCTTGCTCAAAATCCTGCCGAACTGTAGGAGGTGTTTGGAAGATTTTTACAATAAAATATGCTCGATTACGAAAAATCCATCATCGCCGTAGATTAGCATGTTGTAAGGCATAAAATATAACGTCAACCTGGAGGAGTGCAGTTTCGAAATCGTATCACTCCAACAGTTTTCCTGATTGGCGCTCTGTATCAACAAGGCGTTGGACAGTAATAGTTTCATTACCATCTAATAGAGGGTTGCACCTCATCTGTATGACTGCAGTTGCCCCTTTTACCTTCGCCAAGAGCTACTTCTCTGTGGACTTTTTAGTCTCATTTTGCTGATCAAAGGTTACACAGTGCTCCTTCTTCTATTCTTTTAAATTTTGAGTGCCAAGCGATCGGACAAATGACCGCGGCCTACATTATGCAAGATGCTTACCTTTACGCTTCAGGTTCAAAATAAAACAAGTGTTCAATTTTGTTAATTGGTATAAAACGATATCACAAGCTCTCTGATATGTATTGATTAATACGGAAACGGTTTAAAACCGTTTGAAACTGTTTTTCTACTGAATAATGTCTGTTCGCAAAATTTGCCAGGCGTATGCCTTTTGAATTTGTGCCGCACACTGGTCATAACGATTCAGGTGCTTTGAATTGTTCGGCAGTTCATGACGCTGTACATCTAGCGTTCTGAATATTCGCTTACCTAGACCATGAATCTTCATCCTTGATTCATAGGGGAGATCAGCTTAGACAAATGTTTCAATCTTTTTTTCAGAAATTACGCAGTAGTGGCTAATAATCATTCATTCAGGTTTTTAGACGGAATGTTTTTATCCTAAAAGTTGACTTGGAGGGACACGACGGCCTCTTAATCAGTTTCACTATTTCAGGTTCACGAACTTAACGTGAAACAGTGAATTTTCTGGCCATCCTTTACCAGTAGTAATTCGCACACAGAACACGTTGCTTTGAAATATTACTTGTATGGCAGTGGATACTGTTCATATGTGTGTCCTCATGCTCTTTCGCAGTCAAAGGTACGATGTTGCTGAAAACAATACAACGATCAAGTCCACTTCGCAGGCATCCCATTGCGTACTAATGAGATCAATCAGAATGAGGTGGGTTTGCAATTAAACAGTCGATGCTGGTCTAGTAGATTATTAAATGCTTGCAGCTGTTGATAAGTGCGCAGCTGTTTTATGTGAATGCTGAAAATTATTAGCCTCGCTATCACTCTCTTCTGCACGCAGCATTAAGCACTTTCAAAAGTTCTTACTTTCTTACTTTCTCTACGCTTTGACGTAACGTCTTGCAGGGAAGGAGAATCGAAAAATGGCATTTATAATCGATAACCGAGTCGGAAAGTACACCGACTTGGCTTTTAACACACTTCCTGCAGTTTAGCATTAACATTGCTGAAATAGAATCGCTAAAGCGCAAGCGAAGCTTTATACTGTACCGACGGTCTGGAGAGTTTAAACGTCTAAATCTGTCACTTAGAACACCTGTCACTGCAGGTAACAATTAGCGTTATCGACTTGTTTTTAAATTTCTTTGTCTACTTATACCTCTCGGAAGGAGGAAAGTTTTGAGCCATATGTTGTTGATTTGGTCACTGATTTAATAAATGATCATGCCAAATGAGCAATGTGCGTATGGGTTCCTTTAGTAGAGCAAGAGAAGATCAAGAAACGTCATTATCCGTGAGAATTGCAAGCGCAAATGAAAATCCATAGCTACTTTCTGGCTTTCAGTACATGCACACATCCCAGTAAAAAAAGAAAGCAGGCATTCGTTCCTCAATTTGGCATCGCCTTATAGTTTTCTGTTCAATCAATATTTGTGACTTATATTGAAAGATACTGTAGGATTTATACATATTAGGAAATTAAATTTTGATTTTGCAGTGCAGGAACTAACTTTTTTAATTGCCGATATACAACATGCCG